TTTGTGATGCTCTTTCAAGCTGTGATGAAATTTTTGTCCAGACTTGTCTAGATCAAAATTTCACTCAAAAGGGGAAAGGTCTATTGATTACGTAATGTTTGTAGATATTGTTTGTTGATTACGGAATCACAGAATGGGTAGATAGAACCAATATCTGTCCCATCATGCCTCAGTTTCTTCATCTTCCCTTCCAATCTGTCGAATGTTACTTGGCCAATATCGAGCCGAAATCTGAGGAGTGGACCGAGGAATCCAGGTTAGTGTGCACCATTCGTGAATAAGAGATGATCCTTACTGGACATCTAAGAAGAACGGTTTAAAACTGATAGAGCTATCCAGTATAAATAAAGTTAGATTAGTTTAGGTTTCCTCCTGTGGTAACACTGGATCAATAAGAGATGATCCTTACTGGACCTCTAAGAAGAACGGTTTAAAACTGATAGAGCTATCCAGTATAAATAAAGTTAGATTAGTTTAGGTTTCCTCCTGTGGTAACACTGGATCAATAAGAGATGATCCTTACTGGACCTCTAAGAAGAACGGTTTAAAACTGATAGAGCTATCCAGTATAAATAAAGTTAGATTAGTTTAGGTTTCCTCCTGTGGTAACACTGGATCAATAAGAGATGATCCTTACTGGACCTCTAAGAAGAACGGTTTAAAACTGATAGAGCTATCCAGTATAAATAAAGTTAGATTAGTTTAGGTTTCCTCCTGTGGTAACACTGGATCAATAAGAGATGATCCTTACTGGACCTCTAAGAAGAACGGTTTAAAACTGATAGAGCTATCCAGTATAAATAAAGTTAGATTAGTTTAGGTTTCCTCCTGTGGTAACACTGGATCAATAAGAGATGATCCTTACTGGACCTCTAAGAAGAACGGTTTAAAACTGATAGAGCTATCCAGTATAAATAAAGTTAGATTAGTTTAGGTTTCCTCCTGTGGTAACACTGGATCAATAAGAGATGATCCTTACTGGACCTCTAAGAAGAACGGTTTAAAACTGATAGAGCTATCCAGTATAAATAAAGTTAGATTAGTTTAGGTTTCCTCCTGTGGTAACACTGGATCAATAAGAGATGATCCTTACTGGACCTCTAACAAGAACGGTTTAAAACTAATAGAGCTATCCAGTATAAATAAAGTTAGATTAGTTTAGGTTTCCTCCTGTACTGACACTGGATCAATAAGAGATTATCCTTATACTGGACGTCTAGAGAGAACAGTTTAGAACTGATAGAGCCATCCAGTATAAATAAAGTTAGTTTAGTTTAGATTTCCTCCTGTAGTAACAACTGGATCAATAAGAGATCATCCTTACTGGAGCTCTGGGAAGAACAGTTTAGAACTGATGGAGCTATCTTGTGTAAATATAGTTTATAGTTTAGTTTAGGTTTCCTCCTGTAGTAACACTGGATCAATGAGAGATAATCTTTGTACTGGACCCCTAGGATGAATAGTTTAGAACTGATAGAGCTATCCAGTATAAGAATAGCCTCGCTCCTTGAGTTATTTAGCTCGTAAGAAAACACAAAGCTAAAATTTACAATCTTGAATTTTATAGAGAGCACTTCATATCACTGATAGTGGATAAAACGCTGGTTTGCCAAATTTTAGCCATGTAAGTCGAAGTCGAAACGTTTTTATATACCTGAAGGGCTGTATCCGGTCAAAAATGACCGGTAAACTTGATTTTAGCTCGGTCAAAATCTGTTTTTGACCGGTCATTGGTACGCTTACACTAACAAACTGTTAGAAACTTGTTTCGATATACATCATAGTTTCATGTTTTAGTTCAAGACGTCAGCAATCACATTGGAAGGCATGAAAATGTTGCCAAGTCAAAATGACCAGTGAGGCAAAAATGACCGCGTTGACCGGCCGTTAGTAGAGACCTTACGATTTAGGACGGCAACGCGACGGAAACGGCTGTCAATACAATAAATCATTGAAAAGAATTGGATAATTACAATAAATTAATAATTTAGACATTGTCCTCGCTCTGCAGTTTACAACGCCAAATCACAGATTTTCACGTCTTGATACAACGGCTGCATTTCAAGCCGCAACAAGTGCTACTTCAAACTGGGTTCAGCAGAACTCTTCTCAACCATAAATCCCATGTCTTCAACTTCTAAGACTGTACTAAATTCATACGATTGATAATATACCACGATTTATTTTTACTACCATTTATTTGAAGGAGTTTGTTTTGGCCGTCGTCGTCGCGTTGCCGTCCTAAAATCGTAAGGTCTCTATTTTGAGCCCCGGAGAACTTTT